ATTGTAAGCTTTTAAGTTGAAAATGAGCTATTTAAATAGTTTAGAGTATTACATTGTATTAAGATGAGGTCATTGGACTCTTGAGACTGTTTTAACTGTTTACATTTGAGTAACTGCATGAAATATCTGGTTGCTTTAAGAAATTATAATGCTTCAAAATGCTTAAATAAAAAGACTCCTTCATTATGATAAGGTCATTTAAGAGTGAAGTAAATTGTTCTTCATCTTGACCATTTTTCATGTTTGGTTTGATTCAAATGTGTAGTTTTTAGGAGTTTGGTTTTTGTTTTTAGAAAATTGGAATTTTTAAATTATTAGGAAGAAGTAAAAGTTATTTCTCAGGCCTGTGTTTCCAAGCTTCCTTATACCTTCAAATAAAAACTTTTAAGACTTTACCTTTTATCACTAATGTAATAATTAGCTTACTATATAAGCTAATATACTAACATTAGCTTAGCAAATGTACACGATTGAGTAACTGAATGATAAATACAATAGTGCCAAACAAACATCTCTTCTGAAGAGCTTTTAGCTTGCACTCAGTATCCCCAAACAAAACTACTTGGATTTCAAGTGTATGCCCCACAGTGGATACCTTCCCTGAATCTCAAGCCTCAAAGTTGAGGACAGAGTTAGCAGAGAGGAGTGGCTTACTAAAATAATTCAGGGCGGTTGGGGAGGATGTAGGGTTCTTTTCTTTCTTACTTAAAGTTGAAAAAGGTTCTTCTGCACATATTAATTAACTTCTTTAAGACAAAGTCTGGCAACAGCTACCCCTTTTGACTTGATTTTTGAAAGAGAAATCAGAAGTCTCCTCTTCCTGTTTGGGAGGAAAGTTAATTTGGACTGATTCCAACCTGCTTTGGTGGAATAATACAATGGGGACACAGACTGTTTTTTGGCCAGACCAGCTAGCTGCTTTCAAACCAAGCCTATGCTCACCCTAATCATTAGGGAAATTTTAGTTTATGCAGTGGTGAAAACTACAGTTTTGGTAAATGGATGTTCAGGTTTCTTGATCTACTTCTTTTCCTTGGTATTGAAAACATTAAGCTCTTAAAGGCACAATTTTAATTTGGAAATGTAGTTATGTTCCTCATTAAGAAGAACTTTTTTATTGTATATAAATACAGGGTGAAAAGATAGACCTTGGGTGTTAGGTATTCTTTACCATATTAATGGTTAAAGCATTTAGTAAAAGAACTTCATTGTAAAAGCCTGATTCTACACCTGTCATGTTTTCTTCTGTATTCTCTCCCTTTTGGGGTGAGGTGAAAGGGAGAAATACAGTAATGGGGCTGAGACTGGGAGGAAAAGTATCAAAGTAGGATCTACTTAAGTGACATTGTAATTTCCGAGCATTTGGCTGTTGCTTATGCTTACTTGAAATCTATCCATTTTTTAGGGCCCAACTCAAGCTTTACTTCAGAATAATAAAGGTTTAGAGCCGTAAATTATCTTAATGATCATCTAGTCCAAAAGCCTTTGTTTATCAGATGAGGAAGCCAAGGACTAAGGGATCCAGTGACTTGGTTCAGTTTCTTCATCTATAAAATGAGGATGTTGGACCAGATGATCTCTGAGATTTTGACAGATTTATGATCCTGTGAAATGGCAGAGCTGAGCAAGGCCAGGTCTTTTGATTCTAGGTCTATTGTTTTTATTTATTCATTCATGTTACTGTGAAGTGCTACTTTTGCTGACCACTTAACTCTCTAGCTATGCCGGTTATTTAACACTTACCTGACAGTACAAGTCAAAATATGTTACCCATTTAGACCAACTAGATTGTTGAGTTCTTTGAGGTCAGGGACTATATCAGAGGATTCCTCAGTGTATCTAACATAGTAGGTGCCCAGTTAAAACAAACTAACTTTTAAAAATCATTTCATCGACCACCATGTTTACATGGAATGTGTGCGTTATTATATAAAGAAGCCTATTTTTAATTCAATTCAGTGAACATTTATTAAGTGCCTACAATTTACTAGGCTCTGGATTACAGGAACAGAAAACCATCCTTGTTATCTAGAAGCTTCAGGAATATTGCTGCAGGCAGTATGAAGATACTTTGCAGGAAAGTAAGGATCCAAAGTACCTGTTCCAGGCTCATGCATATTCACAGGGATGGGAGAAAGAATGTGAACATGGAATGTATAAAGGGACATAATGTGAAATAGGTTGAAACCAGAATAGACTTAGCCAAACTGGTCCAGGTAAAAGAACTAAAATCTTTTGCTTGATAGATGCCAAGTAATTAGTATTCCCTTTAATTTAGAACACAGTGCCTCCAAAAATGTCATGTTCTACCAACCCATACAGAGGAATTATTTAAGTGCTATCACATATTGAAAGAGCACTCAATCAAAATCATAATCTCCTGCCTACCATTTCAGTAATACCTATTCTGCTTTGTTGTGCCATATATTGACATTTTTCATATTCAGTGTATGTATATTTTCTCCTTCTATTTTCTTTGGGGGGGGGGGTTTGTTTGTTTTTGTTTTTGTTTTTTTTGGTGAGGCAGTTGGGGTTAAATGACTTGCCCAGAATTACACAGCTAGCGAGTGTTATGTGTCTGAGGCAGGATTTGAACTCAGGTCCTACTGACTCCGAGGCTGGAGCTCTATCCACTGTGCCACCTAACTGCACCACTTTCTTTTTTAAAAAAATTTACCTATAGTTATTATTATCTTCTGTTTTTACATTAGATTATTTCTAAATATATACCTTACTCTTTTCATACCCATTGAACAATCCTTTGCAACAAAAGTTTCAAAAGGGAGAAATAATTTTAATGAAACTAAAGATAATTGTATTTGACAGTATATGCAATATGTACAATATTCTGTATTTATAGTCTCTACCTTTGCAATGAAGGAATTCCCCATCTGTTCTCTGTTGAAAAAACAATTCTGTTAAAAAATAAATTGATTAGTAGGAGAGATTAGGTACACAATATGCGAAGCAAGAAACCTAGAACTATTTGATAAACTCAAAGGCCCTAGCTGTCAGAGTAAGGACTTATAATTTGAGAAGGATTGCTGTGAAAATTGGAAAGCAATTTGGCAGAGTTAGGTTTAATGTAGCCTAATACTCACACCATATATCAAGATGAGCTTCAAATGGGCACATAAAGGGTCACTTCATAAGCAAAATAGAAGAATAAAGAAGAATATCCTTTCAGATCTATAGATAGAGGAATAATTCATCAACAAACAAGGGAGAGAGAATCAAAGATGATAAAATGGAAAATTTTGTTTACATAAAATTGAAAGGGTTTTGCACAAATAAAACCAATGTAGCTAAAATTAAAAGGAAAATAACTGGAAAACATTTATATCAAGTCTCATTTCTAAGGTATGTAAAGAATGGATTAAAATTTATAATATTAAGAACCATTCCCAATTGATAAATGGTGAAGGGATATGAACAAATAGTTCTCAAAGGAAGCTATCAACAACTGTATGATAAAAATGCTTCAAATCATTAATCATTTGAAAAATGCAAAATAAAGCAATTTTGAGGTTCTATCTCACACCCTTCAGATAGGCAAAAAATGATAAATGTTGTAATGTACTTGGGAAAACAGGCATGTTGACTATTGGTGGAGCTGTGAATTTGTCCAGCCATCCTGGAAAACAATTTGGAGCCGTGCGCCCAAATTCGCTAGATTTAGACCTAGAAATACCACTACTAGGCTTATACCCCAGAGAGATTGATGAAAGAGGAAAAGGGACCCGTACATACAAAAATATTTTTAGCAAATTGTTTTGTAATCCAGTGCAAAAAGGCAGAAATGTTAAATGCATCCTTTTCAGATCATGATGCAATAAAAATTATATGTAATAAAGGGCCATGAAAAGATAGACTAAAAAATAATTGGAAACTAAATAATCTAATCCTAAAAAATGATTGGGTCAAACAACAAATCATAGAAACAATCAATCATTTCATTCAAGAGAATGACAATAATGAGACAACATACCAAAACTTACAGGATGCAGCTAAAGCAGTTCTTAGGGGAAGTTTTATATCTCTAAATGCTTTCATAAATAAAATAGAAAAAGAGGAGATCAATGAATTGGGCATACAACTAAAAAACCTAGAAAAAGAACAAATTAAAAATCCTCAATTAAGCAAATTGTTTTGTAGTGACAACTAAAAAATGAGAGAAGGGGTGTTTCTTGGGGATGGCTGAACATACGTCATATGAATTTAATGGAATACTACTGTGATTTAAGATAAGATGGATATGAATTCAGAGAAATCTGGGAAGACTTTGTATGAACTAATGCCCAATGAATTGAGCAGAAGCAGGATATGAATTTATATGCTAACAAGTATGTTGTAAAAACAACATTGAGAGAGTTAAGAACTCTGATTAATTAGTCACCAACAGTGATTCCAGGGAACTGATGGTGATCTGTGCTGTTCATCCCCTGGCAGACAGATGATGAACTAAATAGTCAGAGTGATAACATACTGTTTTGATATGGCTGATATGAAAATTAGTTTGTTTTTTTGACTATGCATATTGGTTACAAGGGTTTTTATTTTTATTTTTTTAGATAACAGAAGGGGTGAGGATGGGAGAGAGAAAATAAATGCTTGTTAATTGAAAAATTAAATGAGAAAAAAAACCCAATTCATCAGGTTCCAAGTTATGTACTTACTTAGTTAATAAGAAATTTATTAAAATTATTTGGAAATTCAGTTTAATTTTATCCTTAAAGTATGCTTTTCCCCTCTCTTCAATCCAGATCTTTTTTAAAAAAATCTTTTAAATGAGTGATAGTCAAGATATGACACATGCATTTATATATACACATTTATTTTGTTATTTAGTAACAGTGATGTTACAAATTGAGTTCTGACGAGCAAAGACATCAAATCTAAATTATTAATTATTGTGATTAAGTGTCATGGCTTATGAGATACATTTTTTGAGTTGCTTAACATTGTTCATACTAGTTATTATAATGTCTTATGTTTTATAGGGCTCAAGGGTTCTGGTTGACGCTCGAGACAAGCTTGGTATTCCTTGGCAGTATTCAGAGAATGAGAAGCATGGGATGTTCTTAATGGCCTTTGAAAATAAAGCTGGGATGCCTGTTGAACCTGCCACTTTCCAACTATATGTACCTGCTCTGAGTGCTCTTTGGAAGGATTCTGGCATCAAGGAAGCCTATAGCCGCAGGAGTGAATTTCAGCTGGTAAGTAAACCCGTTCTGTTAAGGAGAAAAAGGTTACAAAATAGACTGTCATTTTCTTTGAGACGTCAGCATTACTTTCTACATGACTTTAATCTTAGTGTTTGCATGATACAAAGAGGTAGTATTGGGTAATGGCTAGAGAACTGACTTTCAGGCTTGAATGATCTGAGTTCCTATCTTACCTCTAATATACACTGGCATTGTGATCTTGGGCAAATCATTTAATTTGTTGTCCTAGGCAACTCTCCAAGACTCTTAAGTTGCAGGGGCTGCTGGCCTGCATTGATAGAGAGAGTTTCCTCATCTTGGAGTTCTCTGTACCACTGAAATCACAGGTCCCTGTTTCCTATTTGCAAGGTATCTCACTATTTCAACTGTATGAAGGAGGAACAGTTGGGGATACAGTAGGAAATCTACATGAGAAAAAAGAGTAAAATGAGTAATAAAAAAAAAATACTGATGTATAGTGCATGTTATGTTGCTACTCTTCCACATTCCCATTTGCATGGGTAGGCTGAGAGCAAGGCTGTGATATCTCCCTTCTGGGGTCTAGGGGAATTGGTGGGGTTTGAGGAATTTGCCACCATGTTTATCAGTTGATATCAATCATCCAGATATCAATTAACCAGAATTAATTAGTTTTTATAAGAGGTATTTACCAAGATGGCCTGTATAGTAGAAACATTAGATACAAAACATGCCCCCCAAAAGTTTGTGACACACACTCCCGCCAGGACATGAAGAGTCCCAGGGAAAGTGGGCTCAGGCTCAAGCTTATCCAATCCTTGTGGCAAAGGTGTGACTCAGTTCCTGTTTGCTTAAAATCCTTTTCTCATCTTTTGGGGTCCTCATGAAGTTTACCCCTTAGGGTGTGATTTACGTTTTCTCGTGGGCTTCTTACAGAGTCCCAAAGCTGCCTTTCCTCAGTGTTTCTAGTTTGTCCTAGTAACCTCATGTAGACACTGTTCCCATAATGATGTTCAGGGTCACTGCTAGGACACTGATGTAAAAAGTCCAAATCCTGTGGCCTCTCACTGTTCACAAATCCACAAGGGCCCTCACTCATGAGGGGAGAAATGGTGGGTTCTATTCTGCCTCCTCTCACTGAGAAGAATTCTCAGGGGCTTGGTTAGATCTGCTTTATCTTCCATCACCACAGGAATTGCCTGGTTTGCTATTTTATGTAAACCAAATGGCATGACTGAATTTCTTCAGCCAATCCCAAAATACTTCTTTTGTGGCATCATTTTGCTTAATCCAAGGTCTTTATTCCTTCCAAATTGATCAGAGACCTAAGTTTTAGCCTTTAATTGATTCAGTAGAGATGCTTAGGCCTTGTTCACATGTTGTTCTTAGCTGATTCAGTTGAGAAGTCTGAGCTCTCTGTATGTTTATTGAGGTAGGTATATATGGAACCTTATATTTCTGTGTTGTTTTATAGTTTTCAAAGCGCTTTCATATATTGTATTTCATTATATTGTATATAATATATACACATATAGTATAGATATGTGTTATAGATGTGTATATATGTATACATGTATAGTGTTACACGTACAGTGATACTACACATATGTACTTATATAGTGTTATATATATATAGTATTTCATGTTTAATATAGTATTATTTAATGCTTACAACCTAAGAAAATCCATTTGTCCAAGGAAGAAGATAAACTTAGCAAAAAATTAAGGGCACAATAGAGCCCTTTGATAAAATGTGATTGATTAATATACCTTTAAACTTTATGGTTGTCTCCATTGATAAATTGATATTGATAAATCTTTTTTATATATTAGTTACCTTGATGTGTTCACTTGCTAATTATTTCCTTTGGATTATTTGTTTTCATTTTGAAGTCAGCAAGTTTGAAATAGACTGATATCTTTAAGTGACAAGTCTAAAAATAAAAACTGTTGGATGTTCACTCTGCTATTTGGTTTCTTTTGAACTGTCTTTTGGCATTGAAAATGTTCTATTAACTATGTAAGATGAAAATTGTTAGGCTTTTTTCTATAACTGGAAGACTTTTGTGTGATTGATACTAATAGGTTAGAGGACAATAACTTTCAGTTCGTTTCCCACTAATGGTAATTTGCATTCAGCTAACCACTTACTCTTTCTCCTAGTCACTTTTATGTCCAGTGACATTCATTTGCAAGGTCATTGGTTAGGGCTAAGAATTGTAGTTTGTAACCATGGAATGTGGTCTATGTGAGTATTAAGCCTGAACCTTAGCCTTTATTAGTACTGTGTACATATGAATTATAGTAAAATTCTTGAGGAAAAACAGGAGGCTTTTTTTATGTCACTGTCCCTTTTCCTTTCCTTTTACTTTTTGTAAAATTGAGATAAAATCTCTAGATACTTTATCTTCATTTTACGTGATTGTAGATCTAATTTAGGGACACCTTGCAGTGTTGTGGTGTTCAGTGAAATTAACAGTGTTATTTGCAAACAGTAAAACTTGAAAGACTTCATGATCTCAAAGGAATCTCCCTCTTCATTTGAGTTCTGCACTGGACATAGCTGTGGTAGTGGCAAACACCTTTGGCAGTCTTGTTTCCCTGTTTATTGCTTTACTTGATATTAATAATCAGAGGGTTGGTAAACAAAGTTTTCGTTACATTTATTTAAGACTCCCATGATTTTGACATATGCATGGGAGACATTTTGTTGGAAGAGAGCTATTAAATTATTATTTATGTCTGTCAAATCAAATGCTTTTTTATAGGCAAACATTAAATGGGATTTTACACGCTCTGTACCTTTTAACTAATTATATGATTACAAAGCTACAGCCACTGTTGTTTGCAAAAATCTGCTTCTTCCTTTTGAATACTATGAAGATTTTGCAGAAATTGGGAAATAGGCATAAATGTATAAAGTTGTTATTAGCTAAAAATAGTTATTAATATGTTCATATTCATCTTTTTTTGGTAATGACTTCAATTTTACCCAAGTGTTTGATAACCTCCTTTTTTTCCAAATATCTTGAGAAGCAGTCATTCAAAGTCTTCAAACATATATTGCATATAGCATAGGTATCTTCTGTGTATACTTAATGTAATACAGCTTCTTTTCCCATCTTTTTGTTTTCTTTAATGCTATTTCCATCTATTTCTTCATGCAAGGCATAAAGAGCTGTCTTTTAATATTCCAAATATTTTATGTCTATTCACAATGTTTTCATAGATCCAAAGTTAGAAAGAACCTTGGAACTATCTGGACTTAAGGCTCCCATTTTACAAATGAAGAAGCTGAGGCCAACGGAGGCCCAGTGTCAAAGGTGGAATTTGAATCCAGGTCCTCTGACTTTAAGAGTCAGTTCTCTTTACTCACACTGCACAACCTCCTGTGATAAAGTAGAATTTATAATAAGAAACTTTACAGACCTATGCCGTTCTTTGTATCCCTAGAACTTAGCACAGTGCCTGGCACATGGTAAATGTTTATTGACTGACTCATTTCTGTTTCATAATATAATATTTTTAACTACTGAGGACCAACTCAAATGCTACCTCTTAAAGAAAACCTTTGATTACCCACCCTTGCCTCTCCAGTTGTTGGTGCTCTTTTTGTCCTCAAATAATTATATATCCCCCAAACTCCTGAATGAAGAAACTATTTTTCATCTTTTTGACCTCAAGGTGCAGTGCCTTGTACATAGTAGGGTACTTAATAAATGCTTTATTGAATTCTACTTTCATTGATCGTGAGGGTTTCCTTTTTGTTTTTGGTTTTAGGGTTTTTTTGCAAGGCAATTGGGGTTAAGTGACTTGCCCAGGTAAATGTCAAGTATCTGGTCTGAGAGCGGAGTTGAACTCAGGCTCTCCTGCCTCCAGGGCCCGTGCTCTATCCACCATGCCACCTAGCTGCCCCTGTTGATCGTTTTTTTAAAATGTCTTTTGATGGCTTTTGTTTTTTGTATCAGTCACTTTCCAATAACCCTTTCTGATAAAATCCTACCTTATAAAAAAGAAAAACAACTAAGTAAAACCAGTCAGCTCAATAATAATGACTGACAACATATTCAGCATTTGTTTTCCTGTGATTCTCTCCCATCTCTCCTCTGTTTCCTTTCCCTCTCTATACCAGAGCTAACCTGGGTCCATGAGTTTAAAAATGTTTTGATAACTGTATTTTAATATAATTGGTTTCTTTTTTAATCCTGTGAAATTTGTTTTATGGATTTAAAAACATTTTTCTGAGAAGAGGTTGTCGGATATTAAAAAAGTTAAGAACCATTTCTCCGTTTTATATACTTATCTTCTCTTTTTCCTTTGTCTTTCTTCTCTCTCATTTCCCTTTCTTCCCTCTCTTTTGTCTCCTCTCTGTCCCTTTTCACTTTCACTTCTCCTCTTTGTCCCCTTTGCTTACCCATCTTTTATTCCCCTCCCCTCTGCCTTTCAGGTCTATCTTCTTCATCCCACCCCCGCCTTCCCGAGGGTCTACCTAGAACCTTCACTTAGGAATAGAGGAGGGTAAATCCCCATGATCTTCCTTGCCATCCTTGATCATATAAGGCCTGCCAGGTTGGGATCTGTCTTCTTCTCCATGGCTCCTTCTCCTCTTCCCCTTCCCCCTGTTCTTTGGACTCCTCTTTGTCCACAGGGAGCTTCCTCCTTCTTGGATCTCTCTCCCCTTCTTCCTCTGTCCAGGGGGACAGTCAGGGAGCACAGCTTCAGTCGGCACAGCTCTCTCTTCTCTCTCTGTTTGCTTTTCCCTCCCTCCTTCTCTACTGTGTCTCCATTTCTGTCTCCTCTCTCTTCTTCCTCTTTTCCCTTTATGGTCTCTTTACTCTCTACTCATCCCACGTGCAACATTCCACACTTGTAGCTACCTCCTCTCTACTAAGAAAAGGGCAATGTGTTTTATCATCAGACTTTCAGAACCAAGATTGGTTATTCATAGCTTTTAGTGTTTTTAAAAGTCTTATTGCTTTATTTTCTTTTTCATATCACTTGCATTTCCCAATGTGTTTCTTCCTCCTTAAGAA